CCAGGTTGAGCTGTTGTTCAGCATCTTAGCTGTAGAGGGCAGTGTCACTGGCCCTCATATGTGGGATCCGAACCGGGGCCCTCTGGCATCCCAAGTTAGCTCTTAACCAACATGCCACTCGGCTGGCCCCCAAGCCCGCTCTTAACCGACGCACCACTCGGCTGGCCTCACCTTTTTTGATTTTTTAAAATTCATTTTTACTTATTTATATCACATTAGCATCTAGCAGAGGCCTTTTGATTTTATGATTGAAATTTGTTGCATTTCACATGTTTTAATTCTAGATTTGGGTTTCTTAAAAGTGGAACTATAGATTATCATGAATCAAATAGGACAATAGAATTTCTTGGCAATTTGTGTACTTGATATTTTTAAGTTTTCACTTCCACATTCAGCTCATCTATCATATGGTTCCTTATCCAAGACTCAAAATCAAAGTGCTCTGATTCTTCATTTTAATTTGCTGTTATTATAAATAATTATGTTAAGTAGTGATACTAGTAAATTAGCACTCAAAGAAAATATTTTAGCATTCTTTCAAATAAATCTGTAGACATAAAAATGCACATTTTGGTATTTAATTAAATTAATTAAATTGAAAGTGATCTTTACTCTGTGAATCCTTTGTAAAATGGAAAAGGTCACCACATATTAGTATGGTTAGATTTTTTTGTTAAACAGAAAACTTTCATACCTGAAAGCTCTTCTGAGGACATCTCTGAATTTTCTCCTTGTCTGTTTCTTCTCGTTTCATGTTAATTTCTTTGTTGTTTCTCATTTTAGTGAATGGATTTCTCAAATGCCCTCTCTTATTTTTAACCAGTAGTCTCTGATTGCCAACTCCCCAGTGTCTATATCCTAATTTGTGTTATTTATGTCTAAATTACATAATTTAATGGCATCACATATTGTAAAAAAAAAAAGTTTTTTGTTATGCTAAGCAATATGTTGGCTACTTTTATGGACACCAGTATCTTTAAATGTAAATCATTCGCAGATTTCTTTGCCATTAAAAAAAGTTCATTCTTAATATTCTTGTACATGGAACTATGGGTAATCTGATAAATTAGAAATTTATACAAAAATGTTTCTCTTGTTAAAACACTGTTTTTATTCCAGGTATTAGTCTTAATTTTTTTTTTCCTTCAAAATAGATGATCCATAATTATATGGAACACTTAGAAAGAACAAAACTTCATCAGCTCTCAGGGAGTGATCAACTAGAGTCCACAGCTCATAGTAGAATTAGGTAAGCTTTGTTATTATACATTCTGCCTTGAGAAAAAGCAAAATAAATAATCTGTTTCTGTTTCTCTGTTCTTTAATCCTGGAACAATAGTTAGGTTGATTCAAAAGCTCTCTACTGTGGTTGGAATACTATAGGAGGGAATAGCATAGAAAAATAGAAACAGGCTTCCCTATTAAAAAGGTAAATTGTGAGCCATGCCATGTAAGCAGCATATTGAGATATTTTCATTGTTTTCTAATACTTAACAGAGATTGCATTAGGTTTAAGCTTTTTTGATTTGTGGGAACGCTGGAAAATTTTCATTTCTCCTGGTTTAAAGTCCTTTTTGTTAGAGAGGCAGGTTTGAAAGGGTTAGCGAGACTTCTGTTTGATGTAGGAGTGTGAATAAATTATGTAGATCTCCAAGCAGTGTAGCCAATGAGCTAAGCTAGGACTCTTAGTGGGAGAGGAACCTAGTTAATAGGCTGGCTGTCGCTCAGGATTGCTGCATAAATGCTAGGGGCAGCAGCTCTATGGTTATGAGGTGGGGAGAGCGGGATGACGTCATCGCTTTGGAGCTGCTGCAGGATGGAGTGGAAAGCTGCTGCTGATGGCATTGTTTTTGTGGCAGCAGCTGAATGACAGATCCTCACTACAAAGATACCCCTTTGGCCCCCGTGTAGGCCTCCTGGTTCGGGCGTTTCACCATGCCAGCACAGCGCCATGAGTCCTGGATGCATGCTGCTGTTTGTGTTTGGCTTTGTTGGCGGGGCGGTGGTCATTAATTCTGCTATCTTAGTATCTCTCTCTGTTTTGCTGCTTGTGCACTTTTCTATTTCTACCGGTGTGCCAGCTCTGACGCAGAACCTACCAAGGATACTCAGGTACTCCAGTCTCTCTTAGAATCCCCCTGTAGTTGGCTTTTCTCAGTTTTTAGCTTCACGGGTCTGCTTTGTAACCATTTCTGTTGCAGATTGAAACAATGGAAAATGGCCTGAAGCTAGGATTTCTATTTTTATTTATAGTCATTTATTGGCTGTCACTTAGGGATGCAGCTTTGTGTTTGGAAACCACGGCCTTAGGAAAAGGATTTTCATATTGTACTTCTACACAAGTACAATCAGTGGTGGTCTTGTTTTAAGCAGTGTTCAAAGTGTGAAGAGAGATCAGGAGTGGAGAACCGGGTCCAAGTTTATACCACCTCTGGTTTAGCCTCTTGAGTCTTTAGGGGCAAATATCTTTTATGCCTGGGCTTGCATTTGATTAAACACGGGCCGGAGGTGTTTATTTTGTTCCAATTATCTTTTGACTGTGGAGGTTTAGGCATCATTTTTGCAATTTTTGGTAGCAGCTCATGGGAACCGACCATTTAAATATTTTCCTCCTAAAACAAAATATATTTTAGAGTGAAACAATTTAAGCCTTTTAGGGCAAGGAATGCATTCCCCCCATCATTTACACATCAAAGTTGTGAAAGCTTTACAAAGCCTATTCACTATTGTTTAGTCAGATGTTGCCCTTTCTTTGTAGACTTGGGTGACAGATATTCATGCCTGCTTGTGGGGGTAGTCATTAATCTCTGTATCTTTTCTGCTTTTCACTTTACTTGTAGCCTGCAAGAACCATCTTGCACGTTTTAGAGGTTTAAGGTTTTGGTTGATTTTGTTTTCTAACTTATCAAACTAAAACTACCCATTGTTCATATTTCTGCTTTGCGTATGATTTTAAATGAAGGTTCACAGTGGATAGCTTTTATTATTTAAATGTTTACCTAAAATACTCAATTCCTAATTGGAGATTTAGATAAACTGAAATGAAGTAAAGTAGTACATTCCCTCAATGTGTTCTTTTTAATTTATAGATCAGTTCCTGTTCAACATTAGTTTAAGGCCCAGAAATTAAATTTTAAGGTCAAAAACTAGATGCTTATTTATTTTCTCTCCTAATTTTTATTACTTGTATACATTTCAGCACATAAAAGATTTGTATGTATGTATGTGTATATATAGGCTTTTAGGAAATTAAAAATACCTTCAGAATATGTAGAATATTAAAATAAGACTAATTTGAAAGGGCTGCCTGAGAAGGCAGTGCCGTGCTGAGCCTTGCAGTGCTGGGAGCTGGGTAGGAGGCTTAGGGGTTGGGCTGCCTGGGCACACATGCTCTACCATGTGTGAGCTGTGGGACTTTTGGCAAATTGCTTACTTTCGCTGTGCCTGAGTTTCCTCATCTGAGGGTCTTCCCCATTGGGTGGTTTTAAAAATCATGTGAGGCGATTATTTTATATTTAATCAATTACAAGATACACAGCAAATTAAGCAAGTAAATAGTTTTCATAGTTACTTATATGTACCCCCTTTTTAGCAGAAACTATTTTAGTTCCAGCTAGTTTATTGATAAAATAATTTATGATTAAATTTAAAAAGTTCCTTGACAAACGTTGCTGTTAATCTGATTGAATAAAGATGTCAATTTCTCAATATTAATATTGAATTGTCAAGAAGCAGATAGTTCCAAGGAAAGCACATGGGCCTCAGAGCCAAACAGGTCTGACTTTGCATCCGATCTCTGCTGATTACTAAAGTCTCTGAGCCTCTTTTCGTAATCTGAAAACTGGGAAAATAATCCCTATTTCTTCGTGAGGATTGATGAAATCATGTAAATAAATCATCCATTTCAGTGCTTACCACATGGTGTTGAACAAATATAATCTTTTTTTACTGTCCTTTATATGTAGTATATATTAGATTTTATGTATATATGATTTTGTTAATGATTATGTATTTTGAATGTGAATATAGCCAAAACATGTTTGTGAAATTATTTATACATGTAAGTTACATTTAGATAACCAACTGAAAAATGGATATATGGGGTTAAGGCAGTTTACAAAAGAATATAACGAGGATTCTGATAGTTGGTGATAGATAGCACTGTTTCTAGACAGTAATAGCATATTGAAATGCCTGAGGCTTAAATCTGCCACTTGATCATTTATCCACATGTGTCCCATTCTTTGGTTTCTTCGGTGAGTTTTACTGAAGCATTTAATAAATACATACAGAGTACCAACCATGCATGCCTACATAGTCCAAGTCTAATGTTCACCTTTGGGGGTTTCTTTTCACAAGTAGGATTCTAACTGGCTTGCATAATTACATGTCCTTCTCCTTCCTTCTAACTCGTATGTAATTTACTAGTAAAATGAGGAGAGAAGAGATGTATGTAGTAAGATTATTTTTCTAGAGTTGGGACAGTGCAACCCAGAGCATCATTGGCCCTGTTGACAGATAGCTACTAACGAGTCTCTAAAGAAAAGTTCCCGCCCTATGAGCAGTTTCTGAATGAAAAATAAAAGCCATACAAAGCCATTCTACTTGTATTTTGGATTGTAGATTTACAGATTCCTTCCTCAATAGTTTTACACTTTTTCAGTATTTGATATATGTGAAAATCAATATGTTGCCATTCATATAAGAAGAATAATTCTAATGACTGGCCTGTATTTTGATTTCTGTTAGCTGTGTGACAATTCACATGAAGTCTGTATTATCTTCCTGGTTGTCTTTGCGTTTGGGGTTAGAGAGCTTTCCATTAAACTCTATCCATTAAATTCTCAAAAGTCACTTTTCCGCTTAAGTTGTTAAGATACGTTAAAAAAATAAATAAATCATCTAGTAGCTCTTACAGCCTTAGATTTTTAGTTCCCAAAATATATTCCCCTCAAATTGAGGGACAAATATCAGGTCAACAACTTTTTATTTTGCTAAGTATGGACATTAAAAAAATTCACCTTCAGTCGCTGTCACTATCATTTGATGAAAGAAAGGGCATTTTAAAATCAAAGAAGCAGAGAAGATACAGAAAAGGGTCATAATCAAGAAAAAACAGGTTCTATGATATATGGAAATATATATGTGTACAATACGTACTGTATTATCCAATAAGGATATCATAAATAATACCTCTTTTTGCCACAGATTTATGAAAACTATTGCTGAACCAGCATTTGGGAATAATTGCTATAAACATAATAGTTGACTAGTTACTTTAATTTTTGTCCTTTGGTTGTTTTGGCAGCTTGTAGTCGCAAACCTAGATTTGGTATTAAAATCTAGTCTTTAATTGTGCTGCCTACCTGCATTCGAATCAAATAGGAAAAGTACTCCAAGTGTGAAGAAGTGATGAATAATTAGTTCTGATAGAGAAAAACCCTGTTTTATTTTCTTGTGCATAGAACTTTAATAAAATGCAGTCTGTCAACCCTTTTGCTTCACCTAATCTTTAAGAAAATGTTCTGATAGTTTTACTGAACCTTTCTGATTGTCATTAGGACTGGAAGAGCATACCCTTTGTGTTAAGTGAGGGCATGTTTTAAAAGTGGCTTGAATTTCTTGGTATAAAAATGAGTGTACAGAATGAAAGACTTATTTAACAAAACTGAATATTTTCCCACTTTTATTTATAACCTCAGTGTTTCTAGTCTTACATTCTTACCGGTAGAGTTACGGGTACAAGTTCCAGGAGCGCCCAAACCTTTAGTGTCTCATTTCTTGTCAGTTTCCACACTTGTGAGTTAATGACCCAGGGTGACTTGTTAGTAAGCTTGTTTCCACCCTCTAAGATCCCTTTGATTTAGAATCTTCTGTGCATCAACAAAGGATGTGTTTCTTGTTGCAATTCTATTATTATTAAAATTATAACTCTTGTTCTTTGAAATTTCCCACAAAGCATTGGAAACTCTACAGTCTTTCATAGAGTTTTTTGTCCTCCTTGTTTGGAAAAACTGACCATGGTTTTCTCTTATGTTGTGATGGAAAGGAATTCATACATGGGTTCTGTAGAAAAAATACAGCTTTTCTGCTTTAGGGAATAAAACTCTTGAGCTCTTTCCTACCATTTCATCAGTAGCCCTGATTTAGATGATATCAATGTAGATATTGCTTTTGGCAGAAAAGGCATTCCCTGAAGTAGGTTGGGTAAACCTCTAGGGATTAGTGTGAGGACTTGGAAAGTCTAGGAGCAGGGGCTGCCATCACTTCCAAAAGAGGAGGTTTCAAGTTCCCCTAATCTAACCTAAGTGTGAATGAAAATTTAGCTGTTCTTGCTGTGAAAGTGGACCACAGACTGCTTCCTGGGCTAGGAGCTCCTCAGTGACTTATAAGATTTCCTAGACCATTTCTTACTACTATTCTTAGTTGATGTCTTTGGGCTAATTTAAATTTCTGAGATCCTGTTTTTTCTCTTTGGTAAGACTGCTTGTTCAGATAGGCAGACACTATTATTTAAGAGTAATGATTCCAAGGCAGTGACAGCCCAGGCTTATTCCTTAGAGTCATGGCAACAAAGAATTAAAAATGAACGAATGCTTAATTTTTTCTCCCCTCTCCAAATAGAAAAGAACGCCCTATATCACTAGGGATTTTCCCATTACCTGCTGGAGACGGATTGCTTACACCTGATACTCAGAAAGGTGGAGAAACCCCTGGATCAGAGCAATGGAAATTTCAGGAATTAAGTCAACCACGTTCTCATACCAGCCTGAAGGTAAGCTTTCTTCGGCCGAACTTTTTTTTTTTTACATTTTATAAGTTTTTCTCTCCAAATTGAAGGACTAGACCAGGGGTCAGCAAACTTTGTAGACGGATGAGCCAATCCTGTCCCTCAGAAAATTTAAAAATTATTTGAGGGCCATAAAACAAATGAAATCACCATTATATGAATAATATCCTTTAAAAATTTTTATAAATGAAGCTATGATAGTTTCATTTTCATTTTCAATTTTACTTCAGAGACATATGTACGTACCCAAAAAGCCGCATGTGGCTCGCGAGCCGCCGTTTGCAGACCCTTGGACTAGACAACCAGAACATAATAAACATAAGAATGAAATAGCTTGTATACATTTTAGTTTGTAAAACCATCTTTTTTTTCATTGGGCATGAGCTCTTCCCAAAGAGTTTTAATTTTTTACTATTCTTTTTCAAGTTATAGGAAAACCAAGTCAAGCGTTGTTACATCTTGATTAGTATACTAAGGAACTATTCACCACAATTTCTATTTGATTTAGGCTACATTATATGAATTTAGGGTGGGGTGACTAATGAGCCTTATTTTTTTTAGAATTGAAAATCATTGCCACCTGAATTCCTTGGTTCACTGTTGGAAGCTTCACAATTCAGTAGGACTTCACTTTAAAAAAAAAAAGGCTCCTTCCTCAAAACCCTTCATAAGCAACACCCAGAAGTACATTGTGTTTAGCTAAAAAGGCCTGGTATTAATTCATTATAGATATATTTTTGACCAAGAATTTGTCATCGAATAAGTTATAAATATGGTATAAACATGAATAATATATAAATAATATACTGTAGGAGTGGAGATATATTCTACATCTTATAAAGTGGAATGCTTATAAAGGGAATGTTATTTCTAAAAGAACCTTATTACGTTATAAAATCTACTCTCTCATAAAATAAACAAGCTACCTCTAATGAGTAAAAATGAATTACTTACATCTTACCTCCTTTTCTTGCTTTTTCTCCAAAGTACCATGGTGTAAGTACTTAAAGATGGCTAGTAGGATACTTCTAAAATACTCAGTCATTTATTGACTTCGTCTGGTTCTGTCCACTAAGAACATGCAATCCATGCAGTTTATTTCCTGCCGTAGCCCTAGCACTTGGAAAAGTGCCTAGCCCGTAGTGGCCACTCAGAGCATGTTTGTTGAATGAATTATTTGTTTTAGTTGTTAGAAAGACTGTTTTAGGATAATATAAATAAATGGTCTGTTTCTCAGCTCTGGAAGGTGGAGGCATTTAGAATCATTCCATTGACCTTTGAAATGTGCTCAAAACCGTAAGCAGTCAATAAATATTTGATAGCTTTTCTCTCCCTGAAAAGTATTTTTAACAGTAAGACTGACCTCACTTGTTTTTCCTTCTCTTTTTCTTGTTGCCCAATTTATTACAAGCTAATCGCAGTTGCTCAGTGTCAAGCCACAGTCATTCCCCCAAGAAGCTCTCATTCTTTACTCCCACCGCCACACTGCCTGTGGGTTTCGTAGACCTTCCAGCAGACCCATTCCTCAGTAGCCTACTTGCCATATCCCTTTCCTAAAACAAAATTGAGTAGGAGGGATGCTTTTAGTACATCAAGAGTGTATACCATATGGTAACAATATTTTATTACTATCCACCTTAAGAGAAGATTGTTATAATTCTCTTGTTATTTAATCCAGTGACATGCTGTGACAGAATTTTACCGGCAAGTTATAAACTGATTAACAGATGATTAATACGGACTTAGGCATAGGTGGTTTTGTGTGTGTATGTGTGTCCTCCCAGAGATACTAATGCAAGTACTCCCTGGAGAGTTTCTAAAATAAAATCCTGTCTCACTCTACTCTGGACATGGAGCCACTAAATGAGTTAAAGGCTCATTTCCAGGAACAGACAAAGTGGTACATTTCAAAATGGCAAAAGTCCAGTTTGTAAAGTATGTCTAACAATTAGGAAATTGTATCCTTTACCTTAGCCCTTGTTATTAACCAGAAGTCTTCTCTAACTTTACAAAAGGCTGAGAGCAGGGGTTTTTAGTTCACATATACCCACTTAGTCTTGGTTTCCGTGCGTAACAGGGACTGGACTAGACTATCTCTGATTTCATATATTCTGCAACTTTCATTTTTCTTAGTATTTTGGGGATGACCTAACTATATTCAGGGCATGCGTTGCCTTCATTATAAAGGAATTGAAGGTGAGAATGAGAATCAATATTAATTTTACTAGTACAGTTTTTCTGTGAAGTAAGGTTAAGGTGAAAATGTTCTGTGAGAAAACTGCATGATGGGTTATAACCAAGGAAACAGCTTTAGGAAACTTAGTGGCAGAAAAATGGCGGTACAGGGGGTTTGCCAGTGATGGTAAAGTCATGGGCCTTCTTTGTGCTGTATTGCACATTTCTCACTATAAGAGAGTTATAGTCAATAAGGTTATATCTTCAGGTATTGGAAAATCTGCCAAGAATGATGCATATAGAAAAATGTACAAGTTATCCTTAAAAAGCAGTGTTTGTACATAATTATTCCTTCATTTATCATATTCCTGTGGGGAGATCAACAAATAGGTAAACAAATAAATTCAAGTATTGTTATGTATTATTAAAAGAAAGCAAGGTAAGGGGATAGAGAGTAATTATAGGGAGGGATGCTTATTTTAGGCCTTTCAAGGCCTAAGTTAGGCCTCTTGGAGGAGGTGACTTGACCTTGACATGAGGGTTGTGCATGTGTCTGGAGGAATGTGTTTCAGGATGATCACAGCATCTGTGAAGGCGCTGAGGTGGGGGAAACTTTGGCTTGTTTGAGGGACAATTGTTTTCTCTTCATCCCACTTCTGAGACTTTCAGTCCTACCTACTGCACCAACATCCCTATTCTCAGGGTTACCAAAAATATCCACCTTTCCAAATCTAGTAGAAAAGTCTCACCCTACCTTGTAGCAGCATTTCACACATTTGAATTCTTTCTGCTTTTTGAAATGCTTTGCTTAACTTTGCTCCCAGGACACCTCCCGCCCCCACTGGTTTGCTTAGCTGCTCCTTCTCCGTTGTTGGTTTTGGACCTCTAAATGTTTGAGTTTCCCAGGGTTTAAAGCTCAATCCTCCGCTGTACTTAATCTGGGTCACTCAAGTTCTGTGTCTATAAATGCCATCCACACACACCTGTGTTCACAAATTTGAATCTCTGACTCTGACCTCTTCCCTGAACTCCAGATCTTTGCATCCAATTGCTTTTTTTTAGTTCTCTCAGATACATATTTGTATGCTGCTTAGGTTTCCACCAGTAGGAACACCCTCTTTCAAGACCGTTCTAAATTCCCCAGCTCACATAACGACTTCCTGGACACCCTGCTGATGGTCTTCAGTCTAATTTAGAGGTCAGCTCAAGGCAAAAAGCAGGGGAGTTTTATATTACATCATTAACAGAAATTTTTTGCTGCAGGGCTTCAGGTGAAATTGGTAAAAAGTAACTTCTTATGTTAAATGACCAAAACTTATTCCGTTAAAAATGTATTATAAAAGTGCAAAGGCCGGGATGGGCAAAATGTTAAGATAGGGTTGTTCATGCAACTGAATTACATTCATGAACAAGCTGCAAAAAAAGAAGGAAATAGAGAACAAAAGGCCAAGAATAACCCTGAAAAACAATAAGAACAAAAACTTGCCCTCCTAGATATCATGACTTCCTGTAAAGCTCTAATTATTAAGGTGGTGTAGTATTGCATTAACTGCCCTTCCTCTTTTCTTTCTGCACATTTCAGTCCTAACGACCCTAGGTAGAGCAGAGCAAGGAAGTGTCCACAGGGTGGGGAAGATATCACAGCCCAAGCCAGGTTAGGAGGGTATCCATGTGCGGATAGCCTGTTGTAGACAGTCAGGGCCCCAGTGGTGTGAAGGACATCCCTGCAACGGGACAGCCTGGCTGGGGGGTCTCAGAGCCTGAACAGGGTGGTGAGGGCCTCCCCAAGGGAAAGGCACCAGCTTAGGGTGTCAGAGTCTGATCAGGTGGGGAGGCCTGATGCTTCCTCATGCAGCAGCATCATGGGGTGAGGGTGGCGGGAGTCTGGAATGGAGAAGCAAAAAAATACACAGGGAGAGAAGGGTACTGGCAAGGAAGGGAGAGGTTGTAGTGGCAGAGAAGAGAGACCACAAGAGACTGCAGCCCTGGCAGTCGGGACAATAGTTTCAGAGTGGAAGGAGTTGTTAGCAGGGTCGGCTGTGTGGAGAAGTCAGGTAGGACGAGGACTGAATTCGTAGGTGTAGGTTTGAGCAGTTGGAGTTGCAGGGCTAGTAACGAAAGTGAATGTGAATCATGAAAGAGGGAAATAGAAAGTATACATTACTCAAGAAAGGTGTTTTAGTGGGAGGAGAGAAAAAGGATCACCTGAATTGGCAGGGTAGAGGGAAAGTATTCTTAGGATGGGAGACACCGGGTTGTTTGTAGACTTAGAAGAGTTCAATAGGTAGAAATTTAAAACAAGGGCGTGAAGGAAGATGATACATCAGAATCGCAGGGGGAGGGCAGTGGGGAAAGGTATCACATAGCCCAGCTGCAATTAAAGTCTACTCTGCTGATGGGACGCCTCAGTTTTTCCTAGTCTTTTGCTATTACAATACTGCAGTGGATAACTGTGTACATAATTTTGTAACTGTATTTATAATTCCCATAAGTGGGATTGCTGGGTCAAAGCATGTATTGAAGATTTTGATGGATATTGCCACATCACCTGCCTAAGGGGTTGCAGCCATTAGTACCCTTACTGGCGATGTTGTATAAATTCTTTATTGCTTTGTAGGTTTAGAGTTCACATATCCCTCCCTTATGGCCAAATATGGAAAGAGAGAGAATGAAGTGTTTTCAATATCATTTTAAATATCCTACACATAAACATTTTCATGCTCTTTTCTACACCTTGGTTGGTATCAGTTTGGCAGTGATTTCACAGAGTCCACCCAGTTTCACATACACACATATGTATGTATATATGC